ATTTCGCCGGCCGATACAATTTAAATCCGGTATTTCATTATTCCGAAGAGCATTATGCTGTCTGACCCATCACGGACTCGTCCTGTTAGCGAACCTGATTTATTCCATTTCGGTCAGCATTGTCTCTATACCGAGTGTTTTACATTCGGCCGGTAAGCTCATAATAGCCTCTCTTCCCAAGCCTTTCACGCGAGCCGACTCAGACCAAAAAAATCTCTGATATAACTACTGGCGATTTACGATACCTGTGCCAATGTTTGCGTTTTGCGAAGGTTCGTGTTATCACTGCGAAATCCAACTTGCAACGAAATTTTCCAAAATTATTATTATTCTTTTTTTTGTAGAGATTTTATCTGGATCAATCATTCGGTAGATATGTGAAATGTACAGCGAAGAAACGCGTAATTATTTAGCGATTTCATGATTTAACCTTTCCTGCTAGGTGATTACGTTGGAATGCAAAATATATCTCCAATTTTTTTCTCCAGCGACCGCAATCTATTCGATTTTGTATCTATCTAGTAGTATCGCATATAAATTAATTTAATGTTTTAATCTAACACGCTAAACCGTCATTAAAGAGTTTTTACATCGTGCCATAAAGCATCGAAGCAGGTGCTTCATACACAGTCATAATAAAAAGGCGTTGGTCGGCTACTTACATTGTAAAATGCGTGCTGGTTTTTATTGTGCTATGGTTGATCTAAAAATAAATTATATATCGAAAAACTTTTAATATACCATTTTATATTTCCTGTATTAATAGATTGGTCATAGTGCTTTGCAGGTTTCACATTTGTACTACTAATTTAATAAATCTAAACAAGTATAGACCGTGGCAAAAAAACTAAAGTGATGAAGGACTTTTACTAAAATCGAATTTATAAGTGACTTGTAGAAAATGATAAAATAAAACAAATACGAAGTAAGGTTTCACCAAAACTGTAATTTCACCGTCCTTTCTAATGATACTTTCTTTACGTTATAGATTGTTCTCGTTAAAGTAACCCTATGGGTAATTTGATACTGGTAAATATTTTCGTTTCATTACATTGCATACCGAAGAGTTGATATTATCAATTTTTCACAAGAAAAAAACGTCATGAAAAATGAAAGTAACTTATCCTACTTCTAAAATTTATTGTACAATATTTCCTGCAAAATATTGATGATTAATGATATGACTAATACTTAAACGTTTTACCTCACCAAAGATCGGTAATTATTCCACATCGCAGTAGTTGGTATATCTGACGTTTATTACCTACAATCATTTTACCGAGCAAGTTCACGGTGTGCCATTGATGGACGCAATCTGTAATCTATGACGGTTTCCAGCCACAATTGAATTCCACGATATTTGCAAAATCATCTGCTGGCTAATTACTTTCGCGGATAATTCCGTTCAAGGCCGCGCATACGAAATGGAATCCCTCAGTTTTTCACCCGCATTGTCGGGAATCAAAACAGCAGCTGTTTAGAACCTTAACAATTCGAATTAACCAGCCGAGTAAAATAATTAGTAATTTTCACGACTCCGGTATCTCGAAATATGGGCTAGTGTGTTAGCGCGCAAAAAGCGCCTTTTATGCGCATTTAGTGATGCAGGAATGCGATTTGCGCAAAAAATGTCATCAGCTAGAGGTGTTAGTCGCATTTACGTCATCTTAAATGGAAATAAAGGTTTTCCGATTCGTATAATTTGTTTTTTTTTTGTTTTGACACGAGTTACTGGTCGAGCAGCTGATGTTTTATCTGGAATAAATTCATATATTAACTGACTTGTAAAAAGAAAAGGATATTGAAAAAGATATGAATAAGACAACAAGAAAGGAAAGAAAAATTATAATAACGTTAATGATACCTATTAGAATATTGTATAATTTGTAGAGTGAATTTTAATTGTAAGATGGATAGGTAAACAATAAAATTAGCTAATCTAGTTGTCGTATATTTATTATATCATTTGAGGGTAAAGTTTCCTATTTTTCTACGATGAAATTCCGGTATGAAAGTCTTCGAATACCACTCGGTATATAAAAAATATAGCCATATTTATCATTCATTGAAATCATTCATTGAATGAAAGCGAAATTACATCGGATAACAATCGATCTACACTCTATTAACGATAAAAATAAAATAAATGGCCTTCATCTATAATGTAATTGAGTTCATAAATTCAGTTTTCATCGCTAAAACGCATTAGTCTTATGGAAGTCGTAATTTAAGACGATCTCTATTTAAAAACAGTCCATTTTAATATTAAAGAATTGTCATCGTTTCAATAAATTACGTTAAGTACTTAAGTACTTTTGTGATACATTTAAAGGCTAATAAATAGTTGATTTATTAAACGATCCCAGTGGTCTACAGAGTCCCATGATCAAAGTAAAATTAAGTCCCATTCTTTCATCGAATACAAACAAATTGACCATTAATTTGCTGCGGAGAATTTAAGAGCGAAACATCCACCACGCATTCTACCCGGACTCCAATCAATTCCTGCAAACCGCTTAGGCAGATATAAGAATGAGATAAAAAGAAAACAAAAAAAATCAACCGATGCTTATAAACAGTAGCAATTGTAGATAAGCAACGGCGGTAAGTTGAAAGAGAGCGGGTCCTGTATAAACGCATGCAAGTATGTACAATGGCGGTGGCAGTAAAGGCCTTAAAAAGATCCTTATTCTATCTAGTCGGAGGGGCGCCATTCTTAACAGATGTCCTTATATTACCATCAACATTTGAGTACCGCGGAGCCGCGCGTATCCGTGCATGTGAATTCGATCGAACAAAAGGATGTCCGAGGATGAATTGAGCTAACGTTTATAAATCCGATGACTTTCGGTTTTTAGATTTACTAGTGAATTACATTCAATGGAATCGGCGGAGGATGTTTTTTGCATCACCCTGAATAATTATACATATTTTGTTGGTCCCATGGTTGATTTGAAATTGGTGCAAGTTGTTTTTATATGAGTTGTCAATGATAATGAGATATGTTTTTTTCTGAATTATCTAGTTTTTTTTTCAATGTTTAATTCCCGTTGCATATCAATCAATGTTTCGAGAGAACTATTAAAAAACATCCGATTGAAATAAAAGTATTTCGAACACCGAATTTACAATTATGGCAGTTAATGAAGCTTAAACGAACCGCTTTTCATCGTTACGTGACAACTGAATTTACGATTGTATGAAATATGCGCTTCGACGCGACTCGTATGGTAGTATTTCGAACGGAAACGGGATGAACATCGATAAATCAATAGGGAGAGACGTTACATGGAAGTTGCGACTGTCAATTTGTTAATGTATCTCGATATTCATTTACGTCCAACGTGTTTATTAATAGCTAAAGAGTTGAAGTAGTTATTAAGGCGAAAAAAAATAACCGTATTTGATACCAGCCATTAAAGTATAGGCAACTTAAATTCTAATGTATCTCTAATGTACCTCTCTTATTTATGCAAAGGATTTTTATAATTAATCACTTGAATACATTTTTAAGTATCCAAATAGTATAATTCTCGAGCACTTTTTCTATGTGTCTGTACTCCCACGACGTGATTAATTTTTTTGGTATCAAACTCGAGCGAAAAGCTGTATCAAACCATAAAATTATATCCTGTTTTTGACGAAAACGAAATAGTACCTGTTCGTTCTGTTCGTTCTTTATGACGTGACAATGAAATAATTATCGAAGGACAGGAAATTATACCAGGTATGCGAGATCTTAAAAAACAGTCTGGAATCTAGCTTACGATCGTCCGTCTCGTTTCGATCGGCGCGTTTCGATTCGGTGCGTCCTCGTCGATCCTACACCTGTATGGCGCCTTCGATTCGCCTAAGAGTCTTCATTAAAATTGTTACACGTGATTTACTTCTTTGATGCACCTGGAATTGTAAGGAAGCCTCTACCATTGTGAGGTTTAATTAACGAAACGAAACCACTTTTATATTATCAACATCACTTCTCACAATAAAGTTCTAAAAAGCATAGTGATACTATTAAACCAAATTTTAATTAACAAATTATGCTAATGCGGGTATATTCTGTGCGTCAAAAGCCATTAAAAAATCTCATAATGTCTTTATTGGTCTATATCAATAACTATATAATCTTATACAGTGCGTGATAAAACTCCATAGACTATAGAAGAGACTTGTACTAAATTAGATATAAAAATAAATCAAGTTTATTAAAAAATACCATGCCAATTAAGAGCGACTTTAAAGTTAGTTTATTATTTACGTTTTATAATAAATACGATGAAAATTAGAAACGGCTTAGGGTTGGTCGAAATGTAGTTTCACTAATATCATAATATTGCTATTAACTTTCTCTTTTACAGTAAAAAACGCGATTTTGTTGCTTTATCCTTTTATACCAACGATTTATTAGAGTATTTATATGTATAATGACTTGATGATAATAAACTTCGATTAATTAATGAAATTTGGTAAACAACAAATTAATTAATTAGATATTATTACTTCGCATAAAACATACATATTAGGTATATTCTATAATACTTACTAATTGTTAATAACTGTAATCACTTAACAGGAATTAAAACCCGTGAAAAACTGCCCAGCAAACCATGACACCCCATACCCAAGTGCCTATCAATCCATGTAAAAGCCTAACAAGTGTAAATGTGATATAGCACGGTGATGCCCTTCATCTAGAACAAAATTACACGCTCTAACGGCTCCTGTTACGATTATTCCAAAGATTTCGCTTAATTCAAATGAATCAGAGGATCCGCCGAAGGAAACTGAAGCGTCGTAGATACAAAAACTGCCACCCATGTGGAATTCACCAAGCAACGAAGATCCCACAGAATGCTATACCGCAATTTTCGGTAAACCGAGCAATTACTTGGTTGGATTTCCGTGTAGACGCCGAGGATAATCGCAATTGCTACGAATAAACTATTTCTTTGTACCGAATCGTCGGGAAACTTGATGAAAAATGTCTTTATTCTTTGCAGATTCGACATCGGTTCGGCTGTTTCGATGAAATCTCGCTCACAGGATCTCGCAAAGTACGCCAATGCAATTGGGTTAGATTTTTAAGGGTGGCAAACGCTTTCAACCCCGGCGTGAATTTCGTCGCGACCAAGGTTAGAGGTGAGCCCGTCTACGAGGCAGTCAAGCCCATAGCGCCCGACACCGAGCTTCTGGTGTACTACCTACCTGAAAGGCCAGAAGAATTGTTCTTCGTCCGAATGCGAGCGTCGTTGTACAGACAGACCATGGATTCGATATTAGAAGGTAAATTTAAACATAATAAAATTAGAGAAAAAAATGTAATCTCGCTCTCGTTACCCACGCAAAATCGCACATCAAAATAGTTGTTTGTAATAAAAGGCGTAATTTATGGTTGAAGTCGATGCGAGCTTGAAATTTCTCCGCGTTCGAGCATTGTTCTGAAAACTCTCACGCATCTGACTCGGAGAAAAACTTGAACCTCTGCAATGTGGTAGAATATGTCTCTATCACCATTCTTAATTGCGTTAATCGCAACTTTTACGGTTTTTTCTCGAGGTAAAACATCGTCTGTCACGGACTGACCCATCTGACAACCGCTGAATAACTATTGAAAAAAAATATTTACTGAACCTCCAAACTGATTCTCTACTAATTTATACCAAATAAATTCATTGTTCCTTTCTCTCTACTTTTATTACTCACTTTACCATGTTCATTACCTTCGAATAATAATTAAAATTTTACTGTCTAATTCTAGTTATTTACAAGCTTGCAAAAAAGAGCTATAAAATGAATAGCACAAAAATTAAGAATCCTTAATAACCAACCAGCTAAAAACCAACCAAATTCAAATCTCCACGTTCGAGTAGCCTCAAAAACAAGCCGAACCAACGACCACAATAGCCGAATTTTTTCAAATAATATCTTACTTTTGGCATTATTAACGGGCCTTTTTCCGCGCAGCCTCAGCGACGCATTAAAGACAATCAAAATGTTAACTTGTGCAAAGTAGACCCGTAAATCTGTCATTCCCAGTATGCGTCGCAATCCAAATTAGCTATTGTCTCATAGCGAGTGGCCGGGAGACTGGATCGGACTCGAAGTTTTTTCCAGCAGCTCGTCAAATTAAATAATTAAAGTTATTTATGGGCGCGGGTTCACAATAGCGGACCCGACCGCCGAATAATAATGCAAATAGAAAGATGCAGGTCCTTTCGAAATTTGTTCGGAGCACGTTTACTTGCGCTCCATCCAGCGCGACAATAAAAAAATTGTTGTTTCGCATTTTTGTAATTATGTTTCACAAGTTTTGGTTGGATTAGTGTGATATTAAACCACCGTGAAGATACGGTCACGCGTGATACGATACACGCTTTTGATGAATGGGTGTGCTCCTTCGGCTCGAATAAAAATTAACTTTGATAAATTATCCAAAACTAATTAAGAAATAAAACAATTTTTAAGGGAACTTCCCATATTGAATACGAAGGAAACGAGAAGGAAAAAAAGCTAATAAAACACGCCCGTCCTTCGCAACAGGTAGTCCGGGTCAGAGTGTAGTAATTAGAGATTGGTATGCTTGATTACAATGAGAGCTGTCACAGAACGGCTCGGGATATGGCGGCGTATGTCACAAATTCGACACACTGTAATTTTCTATAAAGCACGGTTCTTTATGTTTTTACGCTGCTCGCCAGCGGTATTATTACAGGTCTTCTTGCGATACGCATTCGGAGGTTGATTTATGTAGATTCACACAATTATAGGGTAGCTCTGAAAAGGAAATAATTAACTACCATAAACAATGAATACACAATTTAACGTATCTTTTCGAATTTTCCGTTTCTTACAGATTCCCCTTTGGACTTGTCTATGTCTCTTCTATCGCGAGCATTGAGCAGTTCACCTCCCTCCGCCGAAGACGAGCGAAAGTCCATATCGGGCGATAGCTCGGCGGCGAGTTCGCAGGGAGACCTCCCGGAGACGGCGGTGCCGACGCCGAGGACGCGGCCGCGCGAAAGGACCCTCCTGCCCTGCGGCGTGTGCAACAAAGCCTTCGACAGGCCATCCCTGCTCAAGCGACACATGAGGACGCACACAGGTTGGTCCGACGGGCGCGTTCCATCGCAAAATCACGGCAATTAAATCGTTTTTCAGGCGAGAAGCCTCACGTCTGCATGGTCTGCGGCAAGGGATTCAGCACCTCATCGTCGTTGAACACCCACCGGAGGATACACAGCGGCGAGAAACCACACCAGTGTCCCGTATGCCTGAAACGGTTCACGGCCTCCTCTAACCTTTACTATCATCGCATGACACATATAAAGGTATGCACATCATATTTTTCACACGATTAACATTTTCATAAATCCGAAACAATGGCGGTACGCTTCGATACACTTGAGGTAAAACACTTGTTTATTCCTTCGCGCTTAATGATTTATTGCGATTTATTAGTCTCTCATTACTAAATGTAATTTAACCAACTATATTTTAATGCAAAATTAGCAGGCATTTCGAGCAACGATAGTAATAAGGTAGCGAAAATATATTCATTAGTAGGTACCTGAATATTGAAAGGATATAGTTAAATTGGACGCCAGAATATTTCAGGTATAAAAGGAATTAACTGAGTTCAGCGCAAACTTTTAAAGAAATTGATTCTTGGAGCGTTATTTTAAAGCAGTAGAGTAAACAGAAGAACGATATTTGAAAAATAATTTTGTAACAGTCGTTACAGCAACTCTATACCAATAAATCGGTTCCCACCCCTATTAAACTTCTGTCATAGGAAATGTCATTAATGTCAATTTTCCCAATTTTTGTTTATGTATCATAGAACGTATCTTAAAGTCTCACTTATTCGCGTACTAAAAAATGAGTAGATCATCGTAAAGTATATAGAGAATTCTAATTTATTCTAAGTATTTAAATAATTTATCTAGAGTTAGAGGATTTAAATCTATATAATGCCTTTTGCGCCATATTTACATTCCTTCATTTCGAGCTAAGTTTCCAAGTTTCCATATGAAACAGTTTAACTAGAAACGATTAAATCTTTTTCCTGGGTTACAAGTACACGACCGAAAATGCTCTAGTAGATGTTTCTATAAATTTCGTGAATTACGTCTAAACACCAGTTTCTAACTCAACATCGCTTCTTGTCTTTTCTGCTGTCCATCAGTTGCCTTGTATGTAATCTGTTCAAATCAAGTGAGCGGTGTTCCTTGCTGATGTCAGTCATACCGTCACTTGTCACTCTATGCGCACAGTTAAAACACGACAAATGCTTTTTCTCGTTTTCCTCCTCTTTGATGAGGATGCCTAGACTTAAAAGGCGAGATCAAACGAGGTGACACTACTGATGTCTCGACGCAGGCTTTAACTTGTTTATTGACTGTTCGAAAACTAATAGCGGAATTGCGCGCGGAAATAGACTACCGTGTTCTTTCGTTAGTAAAATATATTATCTACTCGTTATATGGTATCGAATTTCTCGATTTATTCTGCAGTCAGTTCAGTTTTGACTATACCGCAGCAGGTGCTTCCTCGAGATCGTGCCAGCCATACATACGCCATGTGTTATGTCATAATTACAGTAATATAAGTTTTTTTTTTACCGATCTCCGGGGAACATATGGGAGAGCCCAAAAAAACATCCTAAAAGGAAAGTCATTGTTAGTCCGCTGAAAAGGGTGAATTAGTCCTAATTCGGGGGGAATTAACAGAAAATCAGATTTGTCAAATTGAAGAGCAGGTATAAAATCAACTAGCTCAACGGATATAGTTGTCAAATTTAGAACGAAGGGATCTAATCATGCCTGGGAATCGAGTGTTAATGATGGAATTTTGATTGAGATGATCAGATGGTAGGTCTAGACCTTACTGCTTTTTATTAGTAATAATCGGTTAGAGCTATTAAGGGTATGATTTGCAAATATATGTAGTAGATTTTTCAATGTAGTTGAATAACTAATTTATACTCCTGTTTGTTGTACATTCAGTGTACCTGATTGAGATTCATTCAAATCGATTTCCAGAATTATACAAATGAGTTATAATACTTTTGTTCAAGTAATCACTTCAATTCCATTCAAAACTAAGTACACGGTGAAATAAGCGACACAAAGACTTATGACATAAGCGAGTAAACGCTCCGATTAACTCGAGTGTGACGAAGACAACATCTAAAACATCTAAAGTCAAAGGTAAAGGGGTACCACAAGGTTACTAGACAATAAGGTCTGGCTACCCAACCAGAACTGTTTCGTTTTTTCACACGGATGTCGACGAGCGTTACGGAGATCACTACTGCCCCATATAATCACTAATTTGTAATTAAAAAAATTAATTAGAATTTTTCTACAAGTAGCTATTTTTTTCTTAGCTGCTACTTTGCCTTAACATCACCTCTTATACGCTCTAAGAATTTACCTATTTCAAATTGTCCAATGCGAACGTTAATTTTAATTATCCTGCGAATTAATTACTTCATACAATTACGGAAGCAATTTTCCCATAAAGCTCTTTATGCTTCGATTCCCATTTTATCGAAGAGCGGATTTTCTTTTTTCCGTTTAACGAAACGAATGAAAGAATGTGAAAAAACCGTTTCGAAGGGTTCGGAGTTGTGTGTGGGAAAGAGTACCGGCCGATTCTCCCGGTACCATCTGCTGGCACGCAAGAATAAGACATCCGGTTCCTATCGCTTCTTATCGATTCAACTTCTACGACGATTCGGTGAAAATATCTCCGACGAAACGGCGTAAATTCATTTCTTAACACGACAAAACTTTTAGTGAATTCCGAATACTCAAACGCATCCACCATTCATCTGTACCATTATCTCATGTCACAATAATTGCAGTGTTGTTGTAATTAGGGGGTGAATATTTATTGCTCTAGCTTTACGTCTTATTCTTCTTCATTTTTATAACTGAAGAAATATTTAATTTTTATACCGCTTCAGAAATTCATCCTGTTCTCAAGTCTTGGTGCTAATTTGGACTGGTAAATTAAAATAATTTTCGTATTTATTTTGGGAGGAAGTTATAGCAGACTAATTAAAAATCTTACGCAAGACCATTCATTTATGTCAGAAGAAAGTTCATTTTTTACGTATGAGACAGACTGTGATAATAAGCAGGTGTTTTGAGAAATATTATCCGAAACAAATCGTCAAGGTAAACATTAAGAGACTCCTTTTCGGGGAGGATAGCATTTGAAAATAAGTCTTAATGTTTGTTTGGGTTCGTTAGATTTTATGTGTAATTTCAGGTATTTAAACTAGAATTATTCATGTTGCACAACGGACAGTATGAGAGCCATTTATGCCTGCATGTTGAATATTTAATTTAACTCTTAATTGCGTCGAATACAGATTTTTTCAACTTCTAATTACATATGCAAACTAATCCAATTAATTCGAAGGACTTATATGGAAAACACTGAAAATATACACGGTGATTATTAACCAAAGTATAATAAATGTAATTACCGCCTTATACATCTCCTTCAAATTGATATCGCTATTATAAAATGCGGCGTTAATAATGCTATCAACGCCAGTTGCAACAATGATTGGAAGAACATGGCCGGTTGATTAACAAATTTTTTTTATTATTAAATATTCGGAAAAAATGAAATTAATTTGATGAGAAAATGCTTCCTCTCGACTTGCCTTTAGGTATGTAAAAATCGTCTCATAACTGCCATTAAAAAACCGTTTTAACGTTACCGAATGCACGCTACCGTACAAATACGCTATCTATTAATGTTGTTTGATTGATCACTGACGTTCGTTTTCAAATCGACATCGACTGAATAGAACTCCACTAAACCACCCGTCTTCTTCTCCTTCGTAATTCACATTTTATCTGATGTTTGATTGACTACGTTGCGCAAGAGCCGGGACGTAAAGCATTAGCCCACAATCAATCTCTTTAAATCCGTTATTAAGTTTTTATTTTGCGCGATCTTTGCCATCGGAATGCAAAACGCGTTTAGCTGAAAATTAACTGCACGTAGGTGTATGAACTGATTTTCGGAAGAGCACTTTAGAATACTTCAAATAAACGTAATCTGGCTTATTTTTCGTAAAAGAGATATTACAGTATTATTCCGTAATAACTCATTAGGTATACGAAACGTGTATGGTCGAGATTAGTATAACGCTTTTATCAGATTCCTTATGCATCTGGACGTAAATGCTATAACATATGCACGGAGCTCGTGAGTATCCTCTTTGTCAGCCGCCCTCGCTTTTTATTAATTTAAAATGTACACGTCAATCAGACTGATGCCTTAAGACCTATCAGAAGTTACGCCTCAGATTCTATCTATCGATGCCATTATTAAATTCATATTGTAATTAGCATGAAATTTTCCTAATTGATTCGTCCGAGTTGGTACACAAAGCTGCCAACTATTAAGATGTTATCGGTTGTATTTATATTAGATGCAATAGGGTTTTTACGCCGATATGTGATACACGAAATTTCCCACAATTCCATTGTGGATGTTGTGAATTTTCGTGAATTAGAACCGGCAAAACGAGAATTTTATGCCACTTACGCCACTGATTTATGGAGTCTTAACGAATTTAAAACGCCTGTATTTATGGGAAGATGGAAACATAAAAAGCCACTAAATCGCGGAGAGAAGTACTTAAAAACAATTACCGAACATATTAAAAGCTGAGGTAAATTGGTCGATTTAAAGACAAAGGAAACGCAATCGGTTAACCTGTTAAATTTTTACTTTCGGGTTCTGCTTATTCTTGATTGCAAAATCGCAAACTGTGTATGAATATTTGATGGCGATACTTATTGTTTATTCTTTTATTTTGCAGGATAAACCGCACAAATGCAGCCTTTGCAGTAAATCCTTCCCAACTCCGGGCGATCTTCGATCTCACATGTACGTCCATTCGGGCTCTTGGCCCTTCAAGTGCCACATTTGCTCCAGAGGTTTCTCCAAACACACTAATTTGAAGAATCACCTGTTCCTACATACTGGTAAGTTTCGATAACTTCGTTAATAAATTCTTCTTACATTACTAAAAAGTTTGTATAACTCGACAACAAAAACCTACCACAGCCGCTCTTCTACAAACATTCGGAGACCCGAAATGAATGAGGTGAAGAAGTTAATCGCGCATAAAAGTGGATTTGTCAAGAGCGCTTAAGCCGAAGGGCTTTTTTGTAAGGATTAACTAGTAAAGGATGGTAGCGGGGTGTCGTAATACCTTATTAGGTTGAAATGTGAACAAGAAACCAGCATTCAACCGAATCGGATAGAGATATATCTAGTTTTGGATAAAGGAATTCTTGAGTTAAAAATTGTAATAGGCTAAAATTAACATCACAATCCTCTAGAGAGCTGACTGGAAGTTTCGTTGCATCTAGTAAATTATATATTTTTTCGGATGATCAGACAGAAAATCTTACATCCTATATACTAATTCAGTAGCAAAAAAAAAACAACAGAACCGTTCCAATCTACATTTTAATCAAACGCCGAATTATATTATTAAAAAACCACTTTAGGTCTTCCAGCGGAGACCTTCCTAAATTTTTTGTGTAATTATTATTCAGTAAAGTTCTGTCCATAAAGCGCTATCGAGTCTATTGATCTTCGGTCTACCTGAAATATGTCTGGCATTCTCATATCGATATCTTTAAAGATAATCCCAAACTTATTATATTATTTTCATCTTAGTACGTTGAATGAACGGCTATTAATTTTATGTAGAAAATTGACCGGTAGCGAGCCTTTGATTACGGTTGCGTTGTTGCCGATATTAATTCCTTAAAAAAATACTGTTACAAATCCTCCACAGGATACAAATTATTAATGCTAATGCTGTTTGATTGGAAATATATGGAACACTGTGGAGGAAGTTTGTTGTTAAAAAATTAGCTCCAATTAATCAAGCATATAAGTTGCAAATAAAATGGTGAAGTTTGGATAAAATAGAGAAACTCTTCGAACGAAATGAATAATATTATCTGTAAGCTATCCGACAACGTCGCAAATACCAATTAATTGGTCTCATGCATAAGACGAACGGTAGCAGAGCAGAGCACGTCCTCGGGCTGATCTAGAAGACCGTGATTACATGATTACCCGCCCGGCAATCGAACTACTGTCCATTTGTAATTATACCTTTCTCGGACGGTCGTCCAATCTGGAGAGCTGCGCGTTTTTTTTCTCTTATTTCACCGTATTTTGGCTACTACAGAATTTTAAATAAGCGCGGTAATGCGTTCGGAAATTGCTATTCACGGCCGCTACTCCGGTATCTAATTAAACGATGAATATGTATAGGTAAAACAATGTTTGATGTAATGAACAAACCTTATGCGGGCATTCAGTGGAGGCTGCAGGAAAACTGGATATTAGCTACCTGAGATGAATTGTATATGGTGTTAATAAAACGGCCTTGATAGGAATTCATTCAGGGATTCGTTCAGTTTCTTGTTATTATTTTTATTTACACCCATTGTTTATTTGATAAATATTAATAATTGTGTTTTTGTTTGTTACAGGTAAGCCAAACGGATCGCGTAAAGGTTGAGTTGTTTTATTCGAAATAAATAAACGTTGAAAAACTCGTAAGTGATTTTAGTTAAGAGTTATTTATATTATTGTTATTAATTTTCTCTATTTATATGAAATTGATATATTTTTGTACTACGTAATCCTTTACGTACTGTCTATGTATAAATTGTATATAAAATAAAAAAGTTGAATTATAAAGATTTATTGATTTTCCTATGCAATCCCATCTTATTCCCAATTTTTCATCTTTTCGTGACCTTTTAATTAATTAAAACCTCTAAAATAACTCCGACTTTTGAAATTAATTTGGCCCGACAATGCAGCCGATATAGAAAAGAAATCCCTTTCGAGCCGAATACAATAATAATTCAGTTCAAATCAACGCATTAACAATGAAAAAATACAATGGACGTCGGCTGCTGCTAACAAACGATGTTTCCTCTGCTCCTGCTGGTAGCCAACGGGTGAGCTACCTGCCTGACGGAGTAGCTCCAATTCGACGTAGGTGAGTGCACCCGACCAAGTCTCAAAAGTTTAAATAAAAAACCCATGATTTGGTAAAAAATAGTTTGCATAATTAACTTCTGATAGGTATAATTATTATTATTATTATCAAGTAATTATACAATTGAATTAAGTGTATTAAAAAGAGATGAGTTGAACTAAATATCTAACATAACACTCATATAATCTTTAGAAAATGAACTATTAAATATTTTAAATATGTATTAGGTACATGTGTATTTTGCAGTGTTGAACAATATAAATGTAACACCATCTGCAATCCCTCATGTTTTATCAACCTTGTAATTAATCATAAAGCAATATTAATCGATTCATAAATCATTAATGAGAAAATACAAAAGGTTTTTTCTAAGACTTCCAACAGCTATTTGTAATTATCTACATGTGATATCAATAAAGTGCCTCTAAAGGATTCGAATCGAACGTGTACCTGTAAGCGAGTAAGCTGGAAAAAATTGAAAAGGGCACCTCGCCTACCGTTTTATTTAATACTTTAACGTGACGTCCGATCGGAATTATCTAAATCGTGAATAAAATTCCGTTGGGCAACAATAAAATTCGATATCGAAACGTCTAATCTAATCCGACGCGAGCGAAAAAATATCCGTTGAAGGGCTGTAACGGCCGCTCATGTCGCACCATCGGCCACGGACATGTGAAGTGCCCGAGGAACAGGTGCCGAAGGACACCTGTCTCAAAAGGCACCCCAAGAAACTACACCAGAGATTCGAAGGAACTGTTAGTAAACCAATTCGGTGGTGGATGGCAGAACCGTACTGAAAAAATTTCTCATATCTACCCTTGGCCTCACGTTTAATATTTTTGTGACTTCTACTTACCTACGATATTTATTTTAGATCTTTTTATTTTATTTAATCACTGTTATTAAATATTAGGTAATAGTGTAGTACTGTTCTTCATCTCTTCTTATTCTTCTCCTCAAGTCTTTTTAAGATTCGTGATATAATGTTTCATCGAAGACTATTTTAGAATTCGAAGAATATTTTTCATTTTCTTGAAGAGTATTTTCATCGAATCATGCATTTTACCTATTTACGCAAATTACTTTCTAAAATTAATTTTTACATTCAAGAAAGGACGGTTTGGAATTTCTACTGTTTTCAACCTATTTTTACCTGCTCCTTTAACTTTCTGAATCCGGGCCTGTTGGCGAGAAAACGCGGGTTTATTACAGCATATTCCACCTGCAAGATACTTTAGTTAATGCATTTTTAAAGCTATTCTAACGTTTTTAAATTCAACGTTTCAGGTAGGATATGGTATAATATTAATTTATTCCCTCTACTTCGGACAAAAGACGGCGGTAAATTTATTATTGTAAAATGCGCGCTGTTCAATTTCTATTTCCGTATATAAATTGTAGAAATGTCACACTCTAAATTTTCGTGTTACCTGCTGCATTGGAAACATATTTTTTAATTATTACCTAATTTGAATAGAAGAATTAATTACATAACTGTTTCTCTTTAATACAAATTACTTGTTCCAAATTAAAGTCGCGTTATTAGGTGCCTATTCCCAAATATTTCATTTTTTTTTCGATATTTAATCGTCAAGTAAGAGCAGACATATCGGGCATTAATATTAAACTGCAACGCCGATTCAACTGATACAATAATGGCCGAGAGTCAGCGTTGTAAATCAAAAGTCGGTTCTTTGACAGTGGTAAAAAATAAATATACACATCGAGGCTCGTTAGCACATCTTTTTGTAGCCAATAAACAACTGCTTCTTAATTTTGCGATGACGTTATGGCACTGATCCGGGTGAGAAATGGCCGAAGTAAATTATGAAAAATACACGAGAACGGGACGATTATTACGCATATTTCAACACCTGAGAGTTTTATTGTAGGTACTCCAGTGGCGATAGTTTTCAATATAATTTTAAATTATTCGTTTTACCTACTCACCCAGTCGCATTCAATTTAATGTTATACTGGAATTGATTTTATGTCTTTACTCAATAAGTACCACTAAATATTTTTATAAGGTATAGTACTTGATAAACTCAACAAAAGAAAGTAAAAAGAGTCAACTGTATATAAGTAATAACTATTTATGATTGTTCTTGTTCATAATAAAATTTTTGGTATTTACTGCAAGCTATTATACAAAAAGTCTTATTTCACTTGTTGTTTTACTTATTTTGCATATTATGTAAATATCGTCGAGATTAAAATTAACATATTCACTAGTAAAAACTTTGTTTTAGTGAGTGCAAAGAAACCAATAATGACACTAATCTCGGTACTGGTTTTTACAACACTTGTAACGGATATTCGATTTTTACCATCCAGAGTTATCATTAAAGTAAATTCCCGGTATTTTTTTCACCTTCCGTGCGAAATAAAACGAGCTCTCGTTAAAATTATGCACAAAAATGAAATACGATTTAACTTCGAGTTAGTACGCGGTACATAACAGATCCCTTGATTCAATTTAAGATAATATTTCATCTATAAACAAGCTCCCATTCTGACAGCAACATTTAATGTTCTTGTAATATTTATCTCCTCTTTTTGTTTCTCCTGTTTTGCCTTCTGCGATACTTTTAAAATAGCTAATAATTAAAATGTCATCGCGTATATGGCAGCCATATTTCACATTGGGGAAGGTAAATATTCAAAGAGTTTCAAATTCCTTCGGGAGTAATTTAAAATATGTCCGTGCATTAAAATGAGATTTAGCGATATTTTTTTGTGCTATGCCGATTGCGTTTATACCGAAACGGTCGGCATTTTCATGGATTTAATTCTGCAGAGTAGTCGCATACCTATTTAATAAGAGGAGCATTTTCAGAGACATACTTGCAGGAATATGATTTAATTAAACTGGAAAAAATTCTCAATCTATGTAATCTTCTTTGAATTTAGATTAGGTATTTACGTACGTATAAAAATAGTCTCGCAGACTCGAGAGCGTTCAATTATAAAGTGCCGTTTCTTGTTAAAATTTTCTAATTAGTCTCTTTTAGTCCCAAATTCGGAAGTCTTACGTACGCCTGAAATTAATATCTACATAAAAAACACCCGTCCAATTGGCCGTGTCCATTTATAAATGCGAACAAAACTCTGTCACCCCTATACAAAAAGAAATAATGAGGGAAGATTTTTTCCTTGCACAGCCATTGTGCAAAACTACAGATGTTTTGAAATTATTGTCACGCTAAAACAACAAACAGGTATCTCTACAAACAAATTAGCGATCTCATTTAATTTAATAAATTTGCCCTGAATAGTTGGTATAATTATTACCCGTATCTACATTGTTTATCGGCACCAATTCATTTATAACTGGACGCGTAATATGTGTACCTTAATTAATTGTTGTTTATTACTTTAAATAGGTTAGGTTAGGTGCATAAATATAGATGATGTTTCCCTTAGAAATAATGGTGGAAGTAGGTAAGTGTGAGTGTGTCAAGGTTTTTCATTTCATGCATCTTATTAATTTGAAAAAAGTGAGAACATCTGCAATAAATCACTGAATGTGTATTGGATAAGGAAATGTATAAGTACATTTTTAGAACATTAATTTGCCGTTTTTTTCTCTCGCTTTTTTATAGATGACGTTGATGTTTAAATCAAAGGCATCCATACAAAACCGAAAATAAAGGATTTCGTGTTCCACTCTATTTAGACACCCACCCACTCGGAGTTAACAAAGCATATCGGCAAATGAAAAATAAAAGACCTTTACCACGATAGTGTTGAATTAATGATATGTTTATGGTTTATGGTCAAATGGTTATGGCAGCCAACACCACCACTGAACTGTATCGTTATTCGTTATGCTCCATTAGGACTTTACCACAAAAATTCAGATTTCATGAAAGAAAAATACGCCTCGAATATGAAGAGCATAGTCGGGTTAATAGAGGACACTGATCCTCACTTTGTGAAATAATAAATTTCAACGGATTATGTATGTTGAATGGTTGGTTTGCATTCGTTCGATCGACGGGTATTTTAATTAACCTAATCAGAAATATTTGTAAAATGATTGATCACTCATACCTAAATCTGCCTTATCTAATTTTACTCTACTACTCCTGGCAACTTTTTAAATGATACTCGTATAACGGATAAAGTATCTATAACATATTATTGGTGTTTGACTAATTGATTCTTGTAATATTTTCACTATTTTTGTACTACAAAGTTGATTTGAGATTTTTTTAGAGAGCTTGTATGTACAGCTTGAAAAAAATCAATTTTTTGGATGGATAATTTTTGATACAAAGTCATTAATTTAAATAATTTTGATTACTATAATCAACCAGTGGTAAATTTAATGTGGGTCAATCAAACGAATTAGCTGCCTATACATATGTATTGGTATACATTCACCGTTCCCATACCTTTCCGTTTGTACAACCGCCGAAGTAGTTATTACTCTAACCAATTTCTTAGATTCCTATCGAAATTACAATCGAAATGGAATGCAAGTAGCAAGGCAGTTTCTTAATTTCCTGTTAATGTTTTGTTGTTTTTCCATTATCTTATAACGACCACGGACTTAATC